CCGTTTTCCAATCATAGGTGCCATCCGAGTTGCGGAAGGGACTCCGGTATCCGTTTGGCGTGGGGAGGGCCAAAGAACCGGCAGCAGCGGGGCCGTAACCTTTGCGGGTGAGTTGATATGTCATGGACGCGGCGGCGAAGGTCACTCCATGCCAGGAGTTGGCTAAGCCTGGATCGAACTACATTCAGCCAGAGCAGAAGGAGGGAAGGGCTAGGGACGAACCGACGATCTCGAACTTTCCAGTGTACATCTTCGCCATCTGTATGTTACATGTGCGTTAGAAATTTTTCAACATTGAACGTGGTTCTTTTCTGACCCGAATGGCGCATTCGTTACTCTCGCCGCCAGTAGAGAGCAATTGAACCTTGTCTAGGCCAGGGGGAAGCATACTGGACAACTTGGATGCGAGGTCCACCACCGGACGGCTAAGCATGCCAGAGAAGAGATGGTCGACGAGCCGGATTTGTTTGTCGATGACTTGCACAATTTCCGGGTTAGGAGTGGCCCAGAATACTCGACATCTGGAAGGAAAATGAAAGGACGCTCAATAAAAAAGACGTTGGTCAAACCTGGCCGGAGGTGAAGTCGAGAATTTTCTTGCCATCTGCGTCGTATAGATACATGCCCTCTGCGCGTTCGATGATGCGTCGGATGAAAGAACCCCCGCCAGAGTAGCGAATAAGAGAGTCATCTGCGCGCTGCCAAAAGGCCGCGTCTTCGTTGTTGGAGGCTGAGGATTGCATTGAGAGGTGAGAAACGGGAGGGGGAGTGGAACAGGGGCGTACCCTTTTATGGAACCTGGGTAAGCGACGGGGAAAGTCGTTGGAAATCCAAAAAGGTGCGAAGATCGAATAGCAGGCCCGTTGAGGAAGGTGTTCCGGTTGAGGACATCCGTTGCACAGGTTTGGGGTTTGGCATTGTTAGGATCTGGGAGGATTGGAACGCGGCTTGATGTACGGCTGATTGTTCTTGCGGTCGCGCTCTTTCGTCCCACCTGTCCCGTCCCCATACCCCGTCGGCGGATACACTCAAATTGTTATGGAGAACGGCCCGTTGGAATCTGTCGCAAGCGAGCGCCCGTATCGATCCCGAAAAAGCCGGCCCTGCGATAGGTGCGTCTCCGTGAAATATTCGGAGGATGTCGAGCTAACTAGTCCAATCGTGACAGATGCAGGTCCCGGAAACAGCGGTATGTTCCCCGTGTGGGTCCGATAGCGTCTCCCGATCTTACTGAACACGCTAGGTGTATCACAAAGCCCAGTGGAACTTGCCTCAATTGCCAAATCTCGGCCGTTGCCTGCACTTTTGACTCTCCCGCAGCGGCGGACCAGCCCCGACCACGGAACAAGAAGACAGACTCCAAGTCCAAGGTCGGGAATGGCAGCGCAGACGCCAGTTCCAGTCGGCCCTTGTCGCGAGGCTATGGTGCTTCTGGATATAGCCCGACGATCCCCCTTGCTTCGCCCTCAGCAATCAAGACCTGAGAGGCACAATTCGCTTCATCCTGACGTAAATTCCCCTGTTACGTCCTCTGGTTTTGAGCTTGGCGGCGCATTCTCCAACATCGTGCTCAACTGGGATCCACCAGCGACCCTCGGTGTACCAAGTCATCTATCACCCCCAAACTCTGTTAGCAGCGCTTAAACATCTACCTTTCCGCTCTGATTTAATATAAATGCAGTCCGACGAAGACTTTCGAGCACTCGATTCGGATGCGGACGACGACTTTGAACCACATTATGTCGGCGAAACGGCTGAACGAGACGCCTTGGTTCTGAGTGCGCTGGCGTCAGCCCATTCCACCACCACCAGAAATGGCTGCACCCCCCCACAATCGACGCCGTTTCGAGTTCGCCAGGTATCGACTGTTCAAACAGAACCTGTGTTTTTCCTCTTCGAGCGCACCCGTCCGTATGGCGAAGACACCGTCGGTAAATATACCAGCGCAGAGTTGATAGGGCTTCTCGGGCCTAACAATATCCACCGTCTCCTGCAACAGTTTGTGTCGTTTTCTTTTCACGGCGTTCATTCGCATTTACGAACATACAGCTATCTGCATATGGATGGGCTTGCTGTTCCCATATGGCGCGCGTCCGACTTTTCAGACAATCCAGAACAACGACTGCCGGCTGGACTGTTTTGTGCCTACGTGTCACGAGGCGTCATCTACGATGACCAGCTGCGACATCTCGCGGCGGAGGCCTGGAAAATTACCACGCTAACTAATCGAGCCCAGTCGCGAAGTGCGCGGGTTTCCACGATTCAGGCCAACCTCCTTGATCTGGATGGCCGTCCGTCGTTGAATCCAACCGGCAACTCGTTACTTCTAGGTCAGGTGGGTTCAAATTCTGAATGTGTTCAACCGAGCCTTAATTAATTGCTTAGACCATTGCCGCCGCTCGTTTGATGGGATTGCATCTCGATTGCTCATCGTGGCTCATTCCCAAATGGGAGAAGAGCCTCCGTGTCAAATTGTGGTGGGCGGTGTTACAGCAGGACAAGTGGTTAGTCCCGTTCCCCTCACGATATTACCTACGTTAATTCCCCTCGCTCTATTCTAGGTCTGCTCTGTGTTACGGCCGTTCAAGCTATATTCATCACAGCGACTGGGACGTTCCGCTTCCCCCGGTCGAGGCCACGGAAGACATTCCGTTCGTCGCGTTATGTGAACTTACAATCATCTTGGACCGTATCCTGCGCCACGTTCACGTCGTTCGGGTCTCGCACTAGACCGACCGATGCCCGCGAGATCTTGACGGGCGTCTCCAAATTCGGGTTGGAACTCGACGCGTGGAAACATCGGCTGGATGCTATGGGCCAGTCTCTGAACGGCTATCTTACCCCTGGGTTCCGTACGTCTTCGATCCGTTTGAGCTGCCCATCTGCTGAATTCCGTTTCGTTCCTCAGGTTCACTGCAACTGTCCTATCTCGCTGTGGCCCTCCTGCTCGTTCGCAGTGTTTTAGATCTTGACCTCCCGCTCGCTGCGGCACAATCGGCGTACGATAGCGCCTTGCGGGTTACAGAGGAAGTGGTTGCGTTCACGTCATCCCTCACTTCAGATGACCTCCGAGGTTATTTTACCACCTGTGCGCATTCTCATCGGACTATCTTTAACAACAACAACTAATTTAGAGGACGCTGACAGATTCTGCTTTTCATTTGTCGACCAGTCTTATTCTGCTCGTCCGACTGGTGTTGCAAGCGGATTTGACGGACCAGTCTGACGGAGCGTCATGGCAGCGCATCCTACACCAGCTCCGCGTCTTCATCTCGGCATTGTCGACAGCGAAACGCGCGGTCCCCTCGTTTGAATTAGGGTGATTTGGCGCTCGCGCGCGCCAGACATCTCATCCCCTTAGCTGGCGAAGAACATTCCAGAGTTGGCGATCGCCCTGGAACCTTTATGGTGCGACTCTTCTCTCTCCCTCGCTCAACTTTAGCCTCGGTGATAACTAACATTCCTTGCAGTCCGCCCGACGAAGAACCTCCTGTCGCCGATGTCACGCATAATGTTTACGGTGCACAGGCGGCGGAGAACGGCGTTACGTGGCCGGAGAATGGCTCCGGGCTCGACGCCTTCTTCCCAGAGGTGACACAGCCGGACTGGGTGTCCTTCCGTGACTACATCCACACGCCGTACTCGCAGGTACTCAACAACCAGGTGCTCAACCACTCATACGGCATGCAATAACACCGACGACCTTCACGACCTCACTTTTCCGCTCCACATCGTTCGCCCTCCGTCCCACTGTCTCCGCGGACGCGAAACGGTAAGTTATCGGCTCGTCATGTATTTTCTAGGGCCTCCGGCGCTTCCCACGAGAACGCTGTTGTTATATTATTATGATCGATTCAGCCAACCACGGAGGCTTTATCTGAGGGCCGGCTATAAATTCGCCGCTTGAATTGTACACACCAGAGAAGCCTTTCCATGGGACGAAGAGACGTGTTATATACGCAAAGAGGAAATTTTCTATCTGCGGTAGATGCTATTAATGTTTACGGTTCGATCAGGATTTTTGTTCCATTCAAGCCGCCAAGAACGTGCAAGCGTTTATATTGCGAAGGACAGTTGGCTGTCGCGCTTTGTGGTGACACGGTCCTCGATCACCACCGGGTACCGGGTAGGAGAACAATAACTCAAGCCTCTCACCGGACCTTGAACTAACTTGAGACTCAGGCGGCTATGTATGACAAGGTCAGTTCGATTCTGTCTGTTTCTTCAAATCGGTTGGACGGGTAGTGCTCCCAGTTTGCCCCACCGTGAGATTAATGTCCACGTCCTGAGAATTAATTGACGACGAGGCGTGGGTGCCGTTGCGGAACACAGGCGAAAGTCCGACGCGGAACAGCCAGTTTCTGACGGGAAGGCAGGTGACCGCTGAGTGTGAGGTTCTCCAGGCACGTTCGCCGCAGCCAGGAGTTCCGTCGCGGCTCGCCATCTCTTTCACAAGGGCGGAGGGAATCGGAGAAGAGCATACATCTTTTCTCCGCGGCCATTGTGCCAGAGCATACTCAGAGCTGTAAATACCGGCAAACACGACTCCGCCCGTGGATTAATTAGGAAATAAACAGCACGTTGAATGTACCGACTTGTGGATCAGAGGCTGGGATAATGCCAGGTTCAAGAATCAAAATCGCCGTGTTATAATCCATTCCTACTCCTCACAGCCGGGGTTCAACCAAGGTTGAACCACGGACATGTGCGGGTTTGTGATGAGAGCGTAAACGCCGCAACGGTAGCGGAGCATAACACCGATGAAATAGAGGCTCAGTTCGGGTCGTGGACAGTACTATCAGTGTCCCCTCGTGGTAAGTAACACCGACCAACGACGAAATACGGGCGTCACCTGTGAATAACCGAAACAGCCTGGGGAAAATATGAGCATATCGCCTGCCAACCTAGTCGTGGGGCCGTCAGGACAACTCGTTTACATCTTCTGCTTCCAGTTATTCACCGGAACCCCGCTTTGCGGTCTCCGCCCTCTCAACATAAAGCCTACCATAGTCCAACGGTAACCCACCCGCTCCGGGATAAAAACCAGAAGCGGGTCAACAGAGGTTCGATCCCTCTCGGTAGCAGAAATGAACCCAAACCACCCCAACTCGGCGACTGGGGGCACCCGACCGGCCTAATCCCGCGGCGACTCATAGTCGCATGTAGGGACGGGGTCCGTCCGTGCTCTTACAGTGGGGACACATCCGCTACCCGCTCTTGCAGCGGTGTCAGCTACGGCTTCGCCCAAGGGCCAATGTGATGTGGGGTTCATTTCTTCGTGTACATTTTGCTTGGAAGTTATTGAGGAGGCGTTTTCCACAAGATGAATCCGGTAACAATGTGGTTCAGACCGATAAGGCTCGGGATAAATTGATCAGCGTACGCCTGGAGCTTTTGGAACAGGCTGACGGTCAGCTGGGCGTTAGTTATCGCGATTGTCGGCGGCCCCGACCTGCAGGCGGCCGCCCATCGATAATTACCTCGGCGACAGAGGGACAATACAGCATTTTTTGTTTTTGTTCAACCCTGCACAGCGCACTGGATGGAGCTCGGCGGAACCCTGCAACTAGTCCCGAAGTGAGGGTCATAGGATATCGATGGGAACTGGATCCGCTCTAGAGGCTCAGGATGCGCCGTGGCCCTGGCGGCTCCGAAAGTCCGGGCCAGGGAGCCTTACATCAGTGCAAAATTCTCCACTCCAGGGAAACACGGACTAGGTGGGAAAACTGCATTCGTTGACCGCCAGCGGTTGAGTGGATTTGAAGATTGCCTGGTATGCAAGGGAATCGTGTTGGAGCCTGAGAAACGTGGGCCAATAGTATGGACGCCAGAATTTAAAGTCTTGTTAGAACGGGCAGAGGATCTCTCGGAGCCACACAGTCTGAGAAATCGGGTTGAAACGCAGGCAAAGGTAGAGCCGGTATGCCGGAGATGAATGCCTCTGCCTGGACGGGAAGCATTTGCAGCTGGAGCTAGAGGCTGGACTTCCGACTCCGAGCCTCGAGGGTTGTCGATAAGTACGATGAAACTTGTCGCGAAGACTCCACAGATTTCATCTCCACCGCCAACAAGCTGGTCATCTGAGGTGGTCCAGTGGGCTGCACCGGGACGCCTACGAGGGCAGGCTCGATGAGGAGACGGGAGCGAGCAAGGAATTGTTTATTGTACCCGGCTAATTCAACAGAGTGCAACCGCCGACACCGCCACTGATCGTCCTTCCCGCACCCGCCTTGGCACCCGCCAATTTTGCGAACTGGTGAAAGGCGTTGGGAGCTGCCAATTGCCCAGGTTGAAACGAATATCCGGTACGCACCCATTTTCTCAGTCGCGTAAGTATCCTGTGTCGAAGAATGACTTATCCCTCAGGATTTGGCGTCGTGAATACTGGACCTTGCAATTGGGATCTCTGGTCAATGAGATGAGCGAAGTATCTATTCACCAGGACGAACATTTCAACCCTCCTTCAAACATTCAAAGTCTACCCCCCGAACTTCTCGCCGAAATATTCCTCAATTTCCTTCCTCGTTATCCTGAACCCCCTCCCTGTGCTGGTCCACTTTCACCAGCGTCCTCTGTCGAATCTGTCAGCAATGGCGTGCGGTGGCGCTATCCACCCCTCCTCTATGGCGCGCCATTTCCCTCGAATTTTCTGCCTTCGAACCCGACGAAATTCACCCCCAAAAACTCGCGCTCCTCGACAACTGGCTGGCGCGCTCGGGGAACTGTCCCCTCTCTGTCGCCATCCGAATAACGAACCACCTGGACTCCCCCCTCGTGGACCAACTTCTCCAAGTTGTCCTGGCTCACAGCGAGCGCTGGGAGCACGTCGCGCTCCGAATCCCCACCCAGCACATGCGTGTCGTTCTGGGCGACATGCCCCAGCTCCGGACTCTGGACTTTGGGCCCAGTGACTTCGGCCGCAGATACGGCCCACTCACGCTCTTTGACCGCGCCCCCCAGCTGCGGCGCCTCGTCCTCACAGAGCACTTCCTCAAATCCGCCCTCAGTCTCCCATGGGCACAACTGACCCACCTCGAGGCGCACTGCCTCTACGAGTACGAGTGCCTCGAGATCTTGACCGAGGCGACGAGCCTCGTATGCTGCAGGGCCAGCGTCTGCTACACTCTCACCTGGACCAACACCACGCCCCTCGAGAACGCGATCCACGTGCGCCCCCACCTCCGCGACCTCGCGCTCCTGGTCGACGACCCCGATCGCGACGACCAACGGGACTGGGAGATCCTCGACCATCTGACCCTCCCCGCGCTCCGCACACTGCAGATCTCCGAGCCTTGCATTACGCTCGAGTCCATCGCGGCGTTCATGGTGCGGTCCCAGTGCGCCCTGGAGGAACTCCACGTCACCCGCACGACTCTCCCCGAGTCCGCGTTCCGGGAGGCGTTGCCGTCGTTTGGGGCAATCTTGCTGGAAGAGCCGGACGAGTGACGAATCAAGCGGAATCCTTTCTCGAGTCAACATACATCCTCCAACTTCTTGCACTCAAACTCCGTCCAGACTCAATCCAAACTAGATAAAGTACATATTTACAACATTGGGCATCGTGAAATAATTTACGGGCAGTGTTAGCGAAATTTATGTACGTAGGATACAGTGTGCCCGTAGGCTCAAGAAAGAAAGATAATGCAGAGCATGTGTGGACACATGGACGATTCGTATATCATTATGAACAAAAAAATCATTGCAAATGCGGGGTGAAAGGTGAAGGTGAAGTTGTCGTGGGATATCAAATCAACAATACGGCTGCATGCAAAGGGCGGATTCAAGAGGGCGGATCACATCAGGTCCGCCCGACGCAGGTGGCCACGCAAGATGGATTCTTCCACTGACCGAGGGTGAGCACGAATATTAATGAAGAAGGAAACGAGGGATGGGGAAACAACGCACCTGCGCCGAGGGTGACGGCCGTGGATTTTGTGTCCTGGGTCCAGGGCCACGTTAGCATTGGGTCGGAGATGATAAGCACAGATATGGTGGAGGGAGGACGCACAATGACAGAGGTGAGGTGGACATAGAAGGGACGTTGGACGGGGGAGTAGGTGCGCTGGATCTCCTTGAAGTGTTGTTGGAAGTCTGTGGGAAGAAGGCGTGAGTGACGAGGAGATGGAGTGGTCGCGTGAAGGAAGACTGGACAGAGGGAAGCAGGGTCAAGAAATAAGACCTCCGATACGCGAGCAGCGTCAAGGAGGCGATAGGGCATGGCGGCCACGCCAGCTCCTTGGCCCGAGTCCAAGCCCAAACGGAGAGGCGAAATGAAAACACGAAAGTACACGCAAGAGCAAGCAGGGCGAAGAGTGGCGGGCAGCTCGGGGGCCAGCACCGAAGTGTCGGCGTCGGTACAACGGAAACGCGAGCTGCTACCAGCTGCCAAGGAAAGTAGCAGGAGTAGACAGGTTGCGAGAAGGAAACGAGGAAAGGAAGGTGACAGAATAGAATAGGAAAAGCAAAGGACTCACATCGCGTTGCGGTCGCGACGTCGTTCCGACGGTCACCGAAGCTCGGGACCGAGTCACGGATCTTGGTGCCACGCATGAGCTTGGCCTGGAGTAGGTCGCATTTGTTGAGGACTGGTCGAGCGAGATCAATGAGCGCTCCGCAATTCAGTCGGGGGTGGAGCATAGCACTCACATAGGACTAGTTGCGTCCGGGCGAGCAGTTTACAGGCACACACACTCTTCCAGAGCATGTAGCTGTCCTCGAGGCGATTGACGCGACGGTCCTCGGCGAGCTTTTCATCGAAACATGATACCGGCCTTATCAAAGACGAGGACGACATCGGTGTTTGTTTGTGGGAAAGGATAAAGAATTGAATCTCACGCAAGGAAGATAATTGCATCACAGTCGTCGAAATATCTGGCCGAGGATGAGGTCTAGTCGGGGAGGCAATGCAGGGAAAGACATACGGGTACCAGGCTGCGCGCTACACGGTCTCCTTAGACTGTGAGAGACAGAGGATAAAGATGAAGACGCACACTACTTCGAGTTCCACCTAAAGAAATGTGAGTTAAGGATAGAAAGGACAGGACGAGCGCACTCACCGACATCGTACATTCGCCATTCAGTACCCGCAGAATGCCCTGCCAAGGAATTATGGCATGTCCACCGAAAGAAAAATTGGTTACGTACCATGCTCAAAGGTTACCCGGTACTCCTGCACCCCCACAGTTCGCAGACGCGCGCGAATAATGTCGTCGTCGGTGATCTGGTAGTCCGTCCGTGCGATACGGTCCAAGTCATTTAGAAAGCTGTTCAGAAGATGTCAATGGCAAAGCGTTTCAGAGCCAGAAATGACTCACAAGCCCGCTGAGTCCTCGACGCGCGACTTGCGCCGCGACAGCATCTCGCGCACGACACGGTCCTCCCACACGCTGCGCATGTCCTCCCGGCACCCCGCAATGACAGCCCTGCACCTCGTCCTCCATGTCGCGCACCTTCCGCAGCACGCCCGACCCCTCGCCAGAGCGCCGCCGTGCAGCACGGAAGCGGTCGAGGGCGGTCTTCCAGCCGTTCGTTGAGTGAATGCTGAACTCCTTCTCGCGTTTGGAAGAAGAAGCGGCGTTATCGAAGGGGGCTGCGGACGTGGCGGATGTCGTGTAAAGCTCAGTCGCCGCGGCTCCTAGTCTTTGTTCCAGCTCCGATTGGACTCGGCGGAGCGGGGCCAAGCGTAGTCGCAGCAGACGGTGCTTGTCCTTGAATTTCAGCACGGGAAGGGCGGAGGTGCTCGGCGAGCCAATGGATGTGCTGGTCCGGCGCGGTGACGGGTCGTCTAGCTCAGAGTCGGAGGATAGTGGTGAAGAGGACGGTGAGGAAGAAGTGGAGGTGCGGATTGCAGTCGAAGGTTGCATGAGACTGGAAGAAGACGCCGGCGGGAGAGTTGGAGTCGCGTTGGCGGCAGCCATTTCACGACCAAGGATGTCGAGAATGTCGTTTATGTTGCGCACCAGATTCAGTAGAATCACACATCGCCACGATGTGCGCTCCTCTGACCATTGTCGTTTGCAGTAAAGCAGTTGGAACTAGAAAAGTTACTAGTGAACATCTTCACAAAGAAAGAGAGCCACACACA